TTGTTTAACAAATCTATCATCTCCGAATGTATTCAAGTTCAAAACTTCAGTTTTTTCCGAGCTAAGACCTAGCTTTTCCTTCAACGACTCTGTCACATACGATCGCTGGCTTCCGCTGTCCATCAAGACACGTACAGGAATTAAAGCATCTTCCACTTTCGAGTAAGCATACGCGGTCGCAGTTTGCAAGAAAACTTTACATTTCGATCGAGTTGCTGCAGTTGTCGAATTTTGACATGCAGTAATGGTTGCGCCTTTGCTTGCACTTGTTTCGGGCTGCTCTTCTTTAGTTGTCGATTTTGAATCACCGTCCTTATAATCCTTATCTTTTCCACCAGCGTTTGGGAATTTTGCCACAACCTTTTCGCAAATTGATTGGTGATGTCGCCCTTCGCATCGACGACACCTTTTCGACGGATGACATTGGTTGGCACGGTGACCGACTTGTAAGCACACGAAACAACGATTGTCTCGTCTCAAAATTTCCTTTCGCTCACTGGGTTTCACTTTCGATTCACACGAAGCTGAATAATGCAGATTCCCACAGTAGGCACATCTGATCGCACCATACGGTTTACTATCCCTCCCTTGAGCTGCTAGCGAAGTAGTCGTAGATGGAAAACGAGGTGGTGGTTTTACCTTCTTCTCGCTGTCGGCCCTTACATGATCACTTAATTCACGAGCTTCCACTTCCTTTCGTATTATCTCTAATAACTCCTTTATCTCCCATACCTCTTTATCCGATTTTCTAGCGATTTCAAGTCGAACGTCCCCAGGTATCTTGGACATAATAACTGGAATTAGTAAACTCCCGTACTGATCCGGTTTCACACCAAGAGCTTCTAATCCTCTAACGTTGACACTTACTTTGTCATATACAAACCGCAATTGCGATGATTTCTCCCCAACACATGGAGCTAACTTCAAAAGTTCGTCCATATGGGCTGCTATGATTTGTTGCGATTTCCCGAATCTCTCCTGTAATATATCAATAGCCGATTGGTAGTTATCCGCTGTAACTGCCAGTCCCTTTATTGCTCGAAGCGCATTTCCCTCTAATAATGACAAAAGATAGTTATACTTGTCAATGTTTGTTAAATACGAATTTCGGTGTACAGCGCTCTGGAAACTTTCCCAAAAAGTTCGATAGTTTGTAATATCTCCTTTGAATTTCGGTAGTACCAACTTGGGTAGCTTAATTGCAGGTGCGTAGTGCACTGTCGATCCGGGTTGTAACACAGATTGTACCGTTGATGCGTTGATGGTATTGGATGATGCTTCCACTTGGTTCGATTCATGATTGTTCGATGTTTCCACTTGGTTCGATTCATGACTGTTCGATGTTTCCACTTGTAGTTGCTCGTCGTTCGATTGACTTGTCCCCTCGTTGGAGACAACATCAGTGTTTATTTCGCTTGTTTTAGAAGTCGTTGGCCCAGGTTTATCGATTACCTTGCCCGTCGCACTCGTAAATTTCTCGATTCTACTACTTACGTCGCTTGCTCTCGCAAACATTTCTTCCGTTTCTTCGATTTCTCGTTCGATATCGTCGATTTCGCATAACTCTAGCACTTGAGCATCGAGCTCTTTAAGTCGTATTATTTTCTCGTTTAACAAATTCGCTATTGTTCGTAGTCGATCCTTATTCGTTTCACTCCCCTGATCTAACAGCTCGATCGCTTCTTTGCTGTATCTCGTAACAACTCCCCGATTTCCCGAGCGAATAGCTCGTATCCTTTTCAAATCTTTGTTCGGCTCGCTCATATTCTCGCGTAAACAACTCCGATATTTTCGATTTTAATTCGATCTTTCGTCAAAGCTAGCGCCCCACGTTGGGCGCCATGTAAACAACGTTCAATTTTACTATATATTTAATAACATTTAACCACATATCACAATAAAACAGCCGGTTCGGCACTGGCGCTAGCTTTGTTATATTTTCGCCATGTCTGGAGGCGTGAACTCTAAAAAGAAGGCGGGTTGTGGGCGTGCCACACTAGCTTCTGATTGGCGCGTTGTCTCTACGTTATTACTATCATTTATAATGTTAATATAAACCTAAACCGTTCGATACAGTTACAATCACAATTACTTGCACATACATCACGGGTTAACTTCAACACAGGCATAGTCACTAAAGTTCCTCATAAATTCATGGCATCGACATCTGTCGGACTGCAGGAATTCTTTCATATCTTTCTAAAAATATGTTGCCAGTAGACCATTATAAAGGGTAGTGCATGTGCTGCTCTTTCCATCCCTCCCTGCTCATCCAGATTCTTGGACATACTGTTCTAGATTTTTAGATGGGCCAAAATGTATGGTACGTCTGACTTCCTTACAATTTACCCCCAATTCCAAAAGCAACTGTGGCTATGAGAACACGTAAGTGACTCTCAGTGGCAGTCATGTTTTTTTATCATATGGTCTTTCACAGACTGTTGTGTGCCAGCATGAAACTTTTCCACTAACCGATTCGGTGGTAGTGCTGCATCGTTATACATGTTTTTACCAAGATTTATTTCAAACATACGAAACAGCAAGGAGCATTGTTTCCTAGTCTGAGAGTAAATTAGGGTTCTCTCATGCAGTTTTGCATAAAACTGTTCGAAGTTCAGTAATAAGTTTGATGAAGACATCTTTTAGACTCCTTTGTTTATCCATGTAGGACAATATGTACATTAAATTGATTCTGTTAGGGTTTTGTTCCACTGTCTGTAATTAATCTGCAGTAATGTCGAGACTTTCGAGCATTTGAGACTTGGTTGCCTTTGTTGCTGTGGCTGTTACAATGACAATCTAATTGTTATTCTTTGGAATCAGGGATCTGATTTCACCAAGACAACCTGAACCATTTCCTGAAAGGTGCCTTTTTATTTCCGGACAATCCCCTAGTGAAAATAATAAACAAGTAAACCTTATTCTATGTACGAAAATAGAAATGAAATGTTCCAGAAAAAACATAAGAGAAAAAATAGGTACGCTAAGCGTACATGTATCTGCGCAAAGAAATTTCATGGTTGCTATGAAAAAAATTTCATTCACAATTATTAGTAAACATTTATATTTTGAAGTGACTATACAGCCGGCAGCCAGCTATTTACAATAGTAAACTGCCGGCTATATGGTGAATAAGAAAAAAAATGCTAAGTCAAACAAAAACAAAACACACCCGACCCAGACTGCGTTTCACTTTCCGCACACAGTGCCTATACCATATACTCTAACAGTAAGCTCGGTGAAAGCTAGCGCAAACAAAAGGTTTTTTTTATATTTAACTATAGTCACTATATAGCCGGCAGTTTTCTAAATACCCAGCTGCCGGCTGTATAGTCACAATTTTGTTTATATTTGATGATATTACAAAGAATGTTAATTCAGATTGCAGTCTCTTCTCTACCGCAATCATTATACTGTCGTACGTCAGAAAGCCAGAATTGATGTTTATAATAAAAACAGAATAAGAGTAATATATGAAATGGATACAAAATTGCTGAGGTAAATACTGTACCAGTGGCAGACACGGAGGGTGGAGGCTTAGCCCCCCCCCCCTATAAGTTTGATAGACTGTAAAAATCTTGTACCAAATAACAATACTCACGCTCATAAAATAATACCATTAATTAAAACATTGTAACTTAATACCATTAATTAAAACAGTGTTTTGAAAACCTAGTTTTTTTACAAAATGTGTCGTCAGAATGCTGCAAATGCCATTTTCAGGGTTCAAATTTTAAAATTTTCTGGGGGGCATGCCTACGAACCCCCCCCCCCCATATTTCACAAAGTGTTCGCCACAGCTATGGAAACGGAACGTCATTCAATTGCAAACCTTTTTGCTTTTGTGTGTGCGGAATGTTTTTGTGAGCCATGAAGCATGCAGTCTATTTTCGTTTTTACGGAATGCTTCTGTAATAATGCATCCCAACCATATGAGCGATTATATATACTGTGTATATGTAAGTAAAATGCATAGGAAAAGGTTTTTTACGAAGTAACCACTCATTTGATTTTGTTTTTCGAACAAACGTTTCCACTCAAAAGTCTACTTTTACCGCTAATTGCTCTCTATTATTTATTAGACGCGTGCATATTAACATATTCGCTAACGCATGATGTCATCGTTTGCTAAAGTGCGGTTGTCATTCTGACTAATTTTATACTATGTGACTGAATTTTATAGATCTAAATAACTTGTAATATCTTAGAAATTACTATCTTTAAAAATTGTTTCGTGTTCTTAGCTTAAAGCTAAGCCATCATGCATTAACGTTGTCCTCTACAGATACCCATGTGTGATGTGTCTGGCATGACTGCACTAGCACATTATTATTATACGCTTTCCTTCAAACTTTTAGCTCTTGGCCGCAATGAAGACACAAATAAATTATGCAAACTAACTATAAATACTGACAAATACTTTTAGGATCTTGGTTTTAGAAGAAGCTTCACGATTTCCGAGCTTATAGCGATAAAGTAAACTATGTTTTCGAGGCGGCCAAATTTCCGAAGGGGAGGGCCAAATTTCCTAGGAAATTTGGCCCGGGGGGCCAAATCTTTGGGGGGGGGGGATTTCCTGGGACACCGGCAACGAAATAATTGCCTCCCGTAATCCTCTGTTCTACAATGATCCGATCATATAGTCGAAGTCTTTGACGGCACAAACAAACGCTTTGCGCATACAAAATCAACCCTTGCTTTTCTTCGTCTTTTAGCTTCCGCGTGTTCGTCATTGAAGTATGGAATATTGTGTAGACTTATTCCATCTTTCAAACATGCTTTATTGGTACAATTAGCTGCAACACAGTAAAAAGGCATATCTTTTTCGATCACAAATCTACCTATAGTATAGTCGAATAATAGAATATACGCCGACTCACTAGCGTGACGTAACAAAAATTGCTCGTTCCAGTTTCCTTCGAACACGGACGCCTGCCAACCAAAAGCCCAAATTTTGCGTGTTCAAGCAGCTCTAAAATGTTTTTGTTTTCATGAAATCGAAAAATTCTTTCGCTAGAACACTATACTACATGAGTACCTTCAATAAACTGAAAAAAATTTTGTGTCAGGGGCACTTTAAGGTAGTAATATAACCACTCAGCACAGCATTGTAACATTTTGGCGCCCAACGTGGGGTTGCCAACGTACTGGTTTGGTGATGGAATTAAAGCCGATTTTGATGGAAATATAAGCGACGTTTTGTAAGACGATACGAAAAAGTTTGGACCCTGCTGTATTTATTTATACTATGGAGAATGTCGAGGAATTACAATTAACTAAAAGTGAAAGAGTTACTTTCTAAAAACTACTTGGATGTGTTATTGAAAGTGACCGAAAAATTAAAGTATGAAAAGTTCTTAGAATTGAAGGAAAAGCCGAGGGGTCAGGTCATAACTTTAGCGGAGATGCCTTCAAAAAATTGTCGAAGGAATAGAAAGTCCGACTGCAAAAAATGAACTTTTGAACGATGTTTTTTAACGCTTGGTGGCTCTCCTGAATCAGCGCCAGTAAATGAGAAAGAAACGTAAGAAAGTGAATTGTCAAAGTTGCTACAGGAATATGAACAGTTAATTATAAAAAGCCAGAAAGAGAAACAATTGTTAGAAATGCAAGCGAAGATAGATAAATTGGAAATTGGGGTTAATGATAAATCTGCCAAAGTCAAAGTAAATAGTACTGTAAACGCATCAGTGATTGAAGTGACTTCAAGTGCCCGGGGGTTGTTGAGAACTGAGAAGAGATTTTAAGATATCGGGGCAGATTGGAGAACCACAACAAGCAGAAAAACTGACATATATCTCTGTCAATCACCATGCAAATTGAATCAGGGTTCAAACAAAAATACACTGAGGATGAAATTGTCAATGCAGTAATCCGCGTTATTTCACCACACACAAGCCTCCGTAGTCGATGCAATAATGCCAATACAATATATTGTCTGGTACAATGCCAGACCTTAATCTTCCCCAACTACGAAGGATCTTAAGACTCCATTATTGCGAAAAGACAGCTTTGGTATTGTACCAGCAACTATAACTACAATGTGCCAGAAACCCAAAGAAAGTGTGCAACGGCGTGTCTGATGAGGAACTTACTGTATGCAAAGAATCAATGAACTTGGCTCCCAAAAAACCGAGAGAGAAAACAAGCTTGGTTTAACAGAGAGGTTGTCTGCGAAAAATGCCAAGGTGAGTTCTGTTGAGGGAGCAAAAGGGAAAAGGGGACATCCTCAGAAGCGGATGAAAAACAGGACCTCCTCGCGATCGCAGATATCAAAGGAATCAAGTTTGATTTAAGTTTCCTTAAAGCAAATGTTGAGGAACAGGTGTCCAAGAGTAATGCATGCCACCCTTCCAGCCAAGATATCCACGGGGTTGCCCCAAGTGTAGGAGAGAAAACAATGGAAATACTTGCAGACACTGTTTTATTTGTTGTCAAGCTGGACATATAGCCAGTAACTGCCCACAGAGGAAGCGGGCGGAAAACAAACAGGGGCCATTTCCGAGGGACAGGAGATGGCCAAGAACATAGAACAAACGTCCCCTCAATGTGCATTTTGCGCATGTAGTGTCATGTACTCCAAGTACATGACACTATCCTTTGTTGTAAACAATGCAAATTAGCTGTTCATTATTGTGACCGGGAATGTCAAAGGAAACATCGGCATGATCACAAAGCAACATGTGTTGCCTTGCAAAGCATTAATCACAAGGGTATGAAAAGCAATGCAGATTTTGAATTTTTTGCAACCCACCCAACTCCAGGTCAACAGAATAAACTGGTACAGATAATTGGTAGAAACTGCATAGTATTGGGGAATTCGATAATAAAGAAGCTAATGTGCTTTGGGATACAGGAGCGCAAGTGTCTATGGTTTCAGAAAGGTTTTTGAGACAAAGTTAACCAATAAAACAAGTAAAAAGTTTGTCAGAACTTGTCGAGACTGATCTAAAACTCACAGCAGCAATGGTAGTATTACACCATGCATATATTGGTTGGGTTGAATTAGCATTTACCTTGTATTCAAAGAAAAATCAGGTGCGCGTGCCATTTTTGGTCACAACTGAAACAAATGAGTACCCAATAATAGACTACAATGTGATTGAAAAAATTGTGACAAATGAACACGATAATTTATTGCGGCGCAAGCATTAACTCTTTATCGACAAGCGACATTTTGACGATTTTACAACTCAATTGTTTATAACGTAAATATCTCAGCGCGTATTCACCCCCCTTTAAAACAAAGAATACCATTGAAATCCTAATAAAATAACCTTTTCAACGGGGGGTTGAATGCCGTCAAAGCATTACACAAACCGAAACAATCATATATTTACTCACTTGCAATCATATATTTACTTACATATTTACCCGCTTGGCCAAAATTTCGGAATTTCGTTTCCACAATAGTGTAAATAACTTGGGAATTCTTCAGAGTTCGGCTCAAATCAATATGAGTGAAATATGTGCTGTATTCAAGCGCTTTTATATCCAGAATTTCACTTGAATACAGTAGGCCATGAGATGAGGGTCGAAAATATGCTTAGAAAACAGATTCCGTAGCACCCCTCCGGCCTCGTGTAACTACATAATTTTTACATGAATCTATAGATTATAACTTACTTAGTTAGAATCCACTTCCCCCCAAGCGAAATAGTTGCACAAATTGAAGTATAAGCTCTTCAAAGTTCACGCTTCCTCGTGTTTCGGAATCCATGAACCGCCATTGTTGTGTTGCAAATACGCATGCGCTTGAGCACAAAACACGTAATGCGCACGCGCAGATAAGAAAAACTGATCTCAACTAGGACTGGACAACACCGCGGAAAAACGTCTGCGCATGCACCAAATTATGAAAATATGGCGGGGAATTTGAATATCAATTTCTAAAACAAAAACATGCTTATTAATTGGTTAAAAATTAGTAAAACAAACGAGGAAATATAGCGAATGTGTAGACTAGACATTAATTGAAAGCGTCCTGGCATTTAAAGTATGGAATGAAATATAATTCATGTAAAAAAAATGTTGATTTTAACGGACACGACTTCAAAAATTTTTGCAAAATTATTCAAAACAAAAATTCAAACTAAAAAGTTAAGAAAACTCTCGAAAAGTTAAGCTTCTTAACCCACTCAAATTGTAGAATAAATCCTAAAGTTTAATTATTGTGAACACGCAAATTTTTTATATTTGGCGACACAGTTTTCAGTAAAGAAATGTATCTCAAACGAAAATTCGGAAATTGTCATTGCTTAGTTGATAAACAAAATGTTTCAGACGATAAATTTGTCAACAATCACCTTTAGTTCATGTTCTTGTACAATACAATTTCTTGAACCTTCTGGCTGTATTTATTTCTAGTTTTTAGAATGACATGTTTATTTTTGCGCTTGAAAACTGGCTGTAAAGACGCACAATGAAGTCACTCCTTTTTACCGCCATTTTGAACCTTCGGAAACGTTCGGAAAAGCTTCTCATCAAGTTCGCAATACTATTACAGGTAAGGTTGACGCATGCGCAGACGTTTTTCCGCGGTGTTGGACTGGACAAGAAAAAAATTATGAAATGTGCGAAAGCAGGGCTGAAGTAAAACAAGATGACATCAGAATATTTTTAAAATATATGATATTTTTATGTTCTGTGCATTTTAATGGGTTTACAAACATTTTGAGCAATGTACCGTGTCGAGCCCTTGCTAGGAACACTTCCAAGCCAACATTACAATAATAACTTATTTAAAATGATGTTATTTTATACTACAGCAATTGCATAACGTTTGCAAGCGAATCTGTTTTTCAGGCTTTAAATAATATCACAATCCTAAATATTCTAGAACATGCATACCGTAATTTCTCTATCCAATTTATTAGGGGAGAAGGGGGGAGGGGGGTTTAATTATAATATATACAACTGTTTTGCACGTTTGATTCTCTTTATATATGCAACATCGGGTACTGTGATTTGATATTAGTAAAATATCATAATTATCTTTCAAATACAATACTTTCATGTTTCACGATTTTATACATTAATTAATTGGTTGCAGGAGAAAGGGGTGGGGAATAGGGGTGGGGGTGCTAAACAGAGAAATTACGATATACCATAAGGGAGTGGTCATTATTTATGGGGAGGGGGAGTTGAGAAATGGGGAAAATAAGGATTGAAAACTTTTTTGTCTCCCCCCCCCTCCAGACTAAAGGCAAACTTTTTGTGCCTCCCCCTCATAAAAGTAGAGACTTTTCTGACCCCCCCCCCAGTGTAGATTGAAAAATTAACAGCAATGAAACAGGTGTGCATTGCAGGTAAAGTTAAATATTAGGACAATCTGTTCAATCTAGCTCATGATGTTTTACCCTGGGGCCGGTTGTTCAAAGGTGGGTTAGCGCTAACCCTGGGTTAAAAGTTTAACCTGTTGTTTTAGTTTGTGTATTTCTGCACGTCTGTTTATTTCAAAACTTCAGACAAGTAAACTCCTATCCATCCGGACAAGATTTCTGAAGAAATATTTCCAA